GCTTCGGATTAAACAAAAGTTTCGAATTTTAAAAAGGGCTCTACTGTAAAACCGAACAGTCAAGGGAAAGGGTTTTTGTTTTCTCTGAAGTCAAACCTTTTTAAACGTATATATCTCTATGTATGCAGGTCTCCCAGGTAACCTTTAAGACCTGTTTTTCAGAAGCCTTATATTTGCTCAAGGAGCCTCTAATGGCCCATAATAGTCTGTTTTTAAATGCTTCACCCTTTAAAAGAATTATATTTTATGCTCTTCGATTAAAACTTGTTCTTATTTGTAGCTAGCTGTACGTATGCTCTAAGGAAGACAGACACTGTGGCCAGTAACGTACGGTGTGGAAATAATAACTGAGAATACACTACAAGTAATTACAACAGTTCTACACTGAATACTGTTTATGTCTTGACGGTGGAATGAGCATGCATTGCTAGAAAGATGCTAGGAACTAATAACATTTACGTGTAATCATATGAACAGACAAGACCAGCAAAGTGTATGTTGAAATACATATGCATTTACATGATACTTTGTAGAGTTCCAGAAATAAACGTTTTTCAATTGCTGTATCAAAATGTCGTCTTGTAGAAATACTGAAATAAAACGATTTTTTTCAGTTAAAAGCAATAGTATAATCCATGAGTGGCTTCTTCAGAGACATTATATATTACAGTTCAATAGTAGAATCCATGAGTGGTTCTTCAGAAACATCATTTATTATAGTTCAGTAGTATAATCCATGAGTGGTTCTTCAGAAACATCATTTATTATAGTTCAGTAGTATAATCCATGAGTGGTTCTTCAAAAACATCATTTATTATAGTTCAGTAGTATAATCCATAAGTGGCTTCTTCAGAAACATCATTTATTATAGTTCAGTAGTATAATCTATGAGTGGTTCTTCAGAAACATCATTTATTATAGTTCAGTAGTATAATCTATGAGTGGTTCTTCAGAAACATCATTTATTATAGTTCAGTAGTATAATCTATGAGTGGTTCTTCAGAAACATCATTTATTATAGTTCAATAGTAGAATCCATGAGTGACTTCTTCA